ACGGAATAACTTACAGCAATTGCCGTGTGTGAATCACGGAATAACTTACAGCAATTGCCGTATGTAACCCACGGAATAACTTACAACTACCGCCGTACGTGTGTGTATCACGGAATAACTTACAACTACCGCCGTACGTGCGTGTATCACGGAATAACTTACAGTTACTGACGCAGTTAATCACGGAAGAAGTTATGGAATCACCTCAAACGTGAACAGATAGTATAGAGTATAAAAGAGGCTAGCGAAATAAACAAGAGAAGGGCGTAAAAAGAGTAAAGGAGGAAGGACAGAAGAAGAGAAGAGGGCGGTAGAGAAAACAGTAGAAGTTGACGGCGCAAGGACCTACCGCACAGTCGCCATGACAACGCGCCTGCAATCACATCACATCCTGCTCGCGACGCTCGTCCTCGTTGTCGTCGGCGCGACTCGACCACGTGACGACGGCAGACGTCGCCGCAGCGTGCAAGCCTATGACCAGCATGACGTCACGGCGTCCGAGCTTCCGCTCATTCCGGCCCCGGACTACGGTCGATACGAGGCGGCAGCGAGATTTAAACCCGTGACAAGACAGATCGCTAAAAGTTACGTTAGCGACCGTCGTGGGTGTGGAGGGGGGGGGCGAAACGTGGAGGGAGAGGGAGGGAGGGGGCGAAAGGTGGAGGGAGAGGGGGAGAAAGAGGGCGGGAGGGGGCAAGGTTGAGACGGGGCGAGAGTGGGAGGGAGTGGGTGTGGCGGACCATGGGGGTACGGGGCGACCTGCGGGATACCAAACCCCGTGACAAGACAAGCAGCCGCTAAAGTTTAGTATATTTGCGCGCGAACAACCATCCTGTGTGGATTGGGAGGGGAGGGGCGCGGAGATGGGAGGAAGGGTGGGAAGAATATGGAACAAGGGGGTGGGACATGACGGATTCAGGAATTGGCCAAAAGGAGAAGGGGAAGTAAGTGTAAGCGAGGTGGACATAGGAGCGCGTTGTTAGCTTCCCCCTCTGGGGAGCTCATTCTAGCGCATTTTCTAGTGCTCCGTGGGACAATTTCTGGCCGCTCTAATAAATAATGATAATGAGTACTAACTCTGGGAAACGATACGTAAAATTGAGTATACTAAGTTAAATTGCTTACTATGCTCATAAATGACTGTTTCGCGTTTACCGGTATTGATTCTTGGAAAGGAGGTGTGGGTGTGACCCTGACGACCCCCTGGATCGCCAGCGGAGGAGAAGGAAGACGAGGAGGGGGATGAGAGGAGGAAGGGGAGGAGGGGGTAAAGGAGGATGCGATACCCTATAGGTAACGTCAGGAGGACGCTGGGGGTTGTGATGGTCATGAAAGTCCTATTCTCGTTATCCTATCGGGAGATTTCGATCGATCAAAATAAACAACATTTGTCGACAACTCCGTTTTTTTTCACCGGAAAAATCGAATATTGTTGACTCACAGTCATCTTTATTATTCCGCCATTCCGATAATAAAATCTATATGGTATTCCTGCGAATTAAACAGTGAAACGGATCCTCTTCGTAAAACATAACTGTATTTCACGATGGACATTTTCATTCGGTGAGGCGACGTGTTGTCATGGAGCTAACAGGTCGAGTTACTCGGCGCACCTTTTTGAGTCAGCGTGCACACGAAACCAAACACTTCTCTCTCTCAAGTGCTATAACGCCTGGCGGGGTGTAAACATTTTTTCTGGTCCCTCGCGTCCACGTACAGTAGAGAGAGAGAGAGGGAGAGAGAGAGAAAGAGAGAGAGAGAGAGAGAGAGAGAGAGAGAGAGAGGGGAGCAGAGAGAGAGACGAGAGAGAGGGGGGAGAGAGAGACGAGAGAGAGAGACGGCGAGAGACGAGAGGCGGGCAAGGGGGGGAGGGGCGGCAGAGAGAAAAAGAGAGGGAGAGAGACGAGAGAGAAACGAGAGGGAGAGAGAGACAGAGAGAGGGGAGACGAGAAGAGAGAGAGAGGAGAGAAAAAGAGGGAAGAAGAGAGAGAGAGATGGGGAAGAGAGAGAGAAGAGAGGAGAGAGAGAGAGAAATAGAGCAGAGAGAGAGCAGACAGAGAGAGAGAGAGAGAGCGGGCGAGAGATGAGGGATGAGCAGAGAGAAGAGAGAGAGAGAGAGAGGGAGAAAGGGAGAGAGAGAAGGGAGAAGAGAGACGCGAGAGAGAGAGGAGACGAGAGAGAGAGACGAGAGAGAGAGAGAGAGAGAAAGAGAGACAGAGAGAGAGAGAGAGAGAGAGAGGAGAGAGAGAGAGAGAGAGAGAAAGAAAAAAGAGAGAGAGATTAGAGGTAGAATGTTATCATGAAGGAGTTTGTCATACTATAGGAGTGTATGTATCTCATATACTTATACACTCCTGATATTATAAACCACTAACAATAATATCAATTAATACCACAGGCCCGAAAGCGCAGGGGGGAGTTCGGGGGGGTTTCGAACGAACCCCCCCCCCGCCCCCCCCCCAAGCAAAAAAAATTTTGTTTTGAAAATTTGCAAGAATTTCACCTCAGGTCGCCCATTTTAGATGTAAGTAATTGCAAATCTCCATCGTGGGCGGGAGGGTGAACAGTGAACACCCCCTCCCACACCCTCCGCCGCTCGGCGGTTCGCTTGGCCTCCCTCGCCCTGGTCGCTTCGGCGCCCAAGCAGCAGCGGCGTGTACCAGGGGGGGTCCCGGGAATCCGACCCCCCTTGCTCGCGCCAGAAAACGCATCTTGAGGGGGTCTAATTTTAAAAAATTTCGGGGGAGGGCCCCCCCTTCGCTCGTGCTCGCAACTTTGGGTTACGGTTAGACCAACGAAAATTGCAACATTAAAAAACGAACCCCCCCCCCACCAATAAGAAAGCTTGGCTTACGGGCCTGTAACCATGTAATCATAATTGTTAACAAAGGTTCATTATTATAACCGACTATAACCAGTGATCTTATTACAGGTTCGCGAGAGAATGCTTTGCCATGCAAGGACGTAGCAGACAGCTTGAGGAGTTCCTATAATATGTTTGTCTGCTCGCCGCATGAACCTTACACAGGCGCCCGTCTAGCAACGGATGCACGTGGTAAGTATATCATGATATCGTCCAGGTGTAAATAATTATTGTAATCATCATTAGGTTAATTAATTTCTATTACGTTTTATTTTGACTTTGTTTTGGCTCTCACGTTTATATGGAATGCCTTAATGTTTATATTGTTTCGCACATTTTCACATGCCCACTTACGCCCTAATAGATTGCAAGTGCCATCCTGCGTATAACCGGGTCCTCTCATAGTCAATTTTCCATAAAAAAACATGATCAATTGTCCAGTTATCGTTATTAAAATCGAAAAGGTTTGTGGTCCCGGTTGATCTTCTATTCCCCAGAATTCAACCGAAAACTTTATGTATTAGATCAAATGCTATTTTCCTCGTTTCGGCAGCTAATTAAATTCATCCTATCACCCGCATCCGAAAAACATATCCGCCCCCCTTTTCAGCGCACCACCGACTCTAGTTAATCAAATGCGCATACGTATCATCGCCGACGCATGACAGAAGTCAGTCTCTTGAGATCCCGTGTTGTTGCTAACTCGGGTAGCGACGACAGATCGAGCCGCCACGACGCAGCGCTCCCCAACTGTCTCCATGTCCGTCCGGACTGTCGGCAATGTATATGCTAGAACGTCACCCAAGACTGCATCCAGTTCATACACACTCGTCATTTCCGTGCCCGTACTCAAAAATCGTCGGCCGAACGGCACGCTGTTCTGACGCGAAGGCGGGAGGCTGTCGTCCATGCCGACGCGTCCATCATGCGAAACAGCCACACAAGAAGGTATACACAAACATTACAATTCCCCTTTATACAATATATACAAATTTCCATCTATATATCACGAGCGATAAAGGATCTGCGAACAGCCCCAAGAGGTAATATATAATTATATCCTCCTTCTAGCCTAATTACACAAGGCGTATAGAGCGACTGAAAAAAAGCGTATATAATAACATATGATCCCCCTTTATGTACACGGCGCATAGGAGGACTGTTCTGACGGTCACTGCCTGATAAGATTTACCCAATCCAGACTAATCTGCCCCCTGGCCAGCTTGCAACCATCTTCTACATACTTTCTTAGTCGCATTTGCCCTTGATTCATAACAGACTAATTAGCATTGACTGCTCTGTTTCGTAACAGGGTTTTTGTTCCCCCCCCCCCCCCCCCCCAGGAGAGTTAGTCGATTTTTTGCGCGAGGGTGTGTGCTTGTTAGTCTATAACCAAGCTGTAAGCATACTGACTAGCATCGTACTGCACACAGAAATTGTCACGAGAACAGTGAGAGCCTAGCTATCCAAGGAACGACGACCATGTTCGATGACGTGTATCGCATGTAGACGTAAGGAGCCCTCTAGGGAGGATCTGAACGATCAGAAATAGCACGTCAGTGAGAATGCAGAGAGCTTTACATGATCAGACGTGACGGGTTTACACATGGCGATGAGACCGTACCGTTGGTGAGACTGTAAAGATAATAGTAAACAAGTGCAAATAGTAAGTAATACTTATTATAAGGCGTAAAGCCCTACTTGAAGCGCGCCACTTTCTCATCATACATAAATATAACTACCTAGATACAATAGAGGATATGATCAGCGCAGGCGGCGGATCCAGAGGGCTTTGGGTGACGCAGTTTCGCATAGTTCTAAGTCACAGCTAGTTTGAAAACAAGAATTTGAAAAAAAATAAGGCCTATATTGGGTGGCACTCTGGTGAATTTTGAGGGTCATTCTGAAGATACCCAGTTCTGTGACGGTTTCTGAAAACGGTGCAAACCGGCCTAAATCCGCGCCTGTCACGTCATCCATACATGCTTGTTTATATTCTGTGTGTGTGTGGCAGCGGTGATGCACGGCTGTTGGCGGGCTATACTTGTGAGCCCGACTCGATGCACCGTTGTCCCTGCCGCTACCCGAGGACACTGTCCGCTACTCTACTACCCGCCCTGTACGACGCCTACCAGTGGCGGAGGATGCTGCGGCGGCAGGACGCTCACCAGAAGCTGCTGGCGTGTAAACCCATCGAGATGGGCTTCGTACAACTCAAGGTGAGTGGGTAAGCCGAGCTGGGCAGGATTTGGAGGTGGTGGTTATCGTGGTTATCGGTGAGGCCCTGACTAACCGGGAAGCTGTCAAGAGGGTAACTTGTGTAATAATGGTTATTTTTAATATCGGGTCTAATTTGTTAATCGCTGAATTGTTTGTAATTAGGTATTCCGTCAATTATTAATAATATATATATATATATATATATAATATAATAAAACAGTAACAAATAAAAAAATCTCAGATTTTGAGAGGCCTTTTCACACTAAGAGGACCTGTGTGCGAGAGTATATAACATAGTCGTTGGCAATGTGCATAGCAACCCCAAATGTTATCGCTATCACATTCGCGTGGTTCATCAATTCCGTGTGCAGGTGTACAAGGTGCAGTACCGTCCCGGTGCTTCCTACTACCTGCCGGTCGGCTTTGAGATCTTGACGATGCAGAACCACACCCGCTGTCAGTGTACGTGTCGGAAAAGCCCCGAGGACTGCACCACGTTCCAGGTACGTAAACGATCACTGACCAACGATCAGAAGGGTGCAAATCGATTTACGATAGAGTTCACGATCTATTGTTTTAATTGGCATTTAATTGCGTAGATGCGTGGTCGATCTATTCGCGCAATCTATTGTTATAATTGACATCTAATAAAACGTAATTACGTAATCGATCTTTCTGCCTAATGTGATTGATGGGTAGTATATAGCTCAAGCTAATCAACGCAGTGATAAAATTTTTACAGACACTGCTCGGTAACGAAGTGGTTCGTGCTCTGTCCGAAAATTAAACACGTTCTCTACATTTCTATACATATAATAGCACGACTCGACCAGCCCCATCTCTCTCTCTCTCTATCTCTCCTCTCTCTCTCATCTCTGCGGCCCTCTCTCTCTCCTCTCTCTCTCTCTCCTCTCTCTCTCTCTCTCTCTCTCTCTCTCTCCAGCCCTCTCTCCTCTCTCACTCTCTCCTCCTTCCATCTCTTCTCTCATTCGCTCTTCGCCTCAGGGGTTTCGGCCTCTCCGCATCTGCTCTCCCCTCACTCTCCTCATCTCTCTCCTCTTTCTCTCCTCCTCTCTCCTTCCTCTCTTCTCGATCTCAATCTCCGTCGGTCGGCTTCCACATCTCTCTCTCTTCTCTCTCTCTCTCTCTCTCCGTCTCTTCTCTCTCGCTCGTCCGGCTCTGCCTCATCAACACACTCATCCCGAAGCCGCTCTCTCTCTCTACCGGGTCGGGTTGCTCTCTTCTCTCTCCTGTTTCATCTTAACGCGTTCCTTAAAATTTCTCAGGTTACATAATATAGACTGCTACTGTCTCTCCCCTAACATTATAATCGCGTTTCCGCAAAAATTTCTGGCTATACTAGTCAGCTCTAGTACTATAGCCCCTTCGCTGTCCGCCGCAGGGCGTTCCCACGCACCACATATCCTAGGCTGTAAGACACCCCGCCAAGTGCCTCTCTCCTGTCCATTAAACGCCATTTGAATATTTCTAGGGTGTATAGAGATTTTGCCAGTGTCTCTGGTCCGAACCATCGTGGATGCCAACTATTGTACGGGATAGGCAAGAAGTGGGATCAGTCGGCAGTGGGAAAATGCCAGAGTGTCCCCTTCGAGGAGTGTGTCGAGAGGCCAGTATTCACAACCACATGTCCATGCAGGTAGAACGGGCGGAAATCTCCTCTTCGTTGACTCTATTCTACTGCATGTCTGCCTTCTCCATGTAGCAATGCTATAACTGTAGCACGGTGTAAGTGTAGCATGGTGTAAGTGTACGCATGGTATAACCTGCTAGGCATGTCTTATTACAGTAGCACGGCAGCATCATGTGTTGAAGCTCGTGTGTCGATTGCAGCGCCGCCACGCTGGCAGCGGGCCATGCCCGACACACAGTGCATGATACGGTAGCCTGAACACTTCTGCCCGCAGCTGCCGCATTCTGGTCAAGAGCTGACCAACGCAACACGACTAAACGACGCTGCATGGACTAGAATCACCAATCGCGCCTCATCCGCCTGGCGAAAACTATACCGCAATGTACTGGTCATACACTTAGGTATTAGACGTCGTATCATTAACTGTGGTCGTATCAGGTAAGAATTTAAAAATCATTCGGATATATACTATATACATATATATATATATCAAGAGTAGATATATACACAATCTTATAACCATGTTATGTATCTTACTCTTGATATATATATACTACTGTAGTATATATCCTTATATCCGAGATATACATATACATACTATATATATATATATATATATACATATATATACTATATCGAATAAACGATTACTTGCGATATCGGTAAAAAGCTGTAACGGAATGATAAAAGTGGAGGATGGTAAGGTGGAGATGTAAGGTTACCCGTTTATTTGCATGATCTGGGTAATATAAAATATGGTGACCCAGGTTGTGGGAAGTTAATAAGTTTCAATTCAAATTTACTTTGTGAATGTGTTAATATTAATAATATAATCCATACCTATATATCATATATATATAATATATATTATTATAATAATATATATATAATTAATATATCTATATATAAATATAATTATATATATAGAAAGAGAGAGAGAGAGAGAGAGAGAGAGAGAGAGAGAAAGAGAGAGACAGAGAGAGAGAGATTGCTTCATAGATAGATGGGCTTATTCCTACATCTATTCTTTTGCACAGTTGCGTGGACCGGCCCATAACGCAGAGAGTGCCGAAGTTGGATCACGACTACAACCTGGGCTTGCGACGACGGCGGCGGCGATCAGCGGCATACAGATTGCCGCGTCTCTGCAGAAACTGCGGCAGCGCGAAGTAACCGAGCGAAGCATGATTAAAAATCTTGGATCGATACGTGTAAAATGTGTGAATTCAACGACGCAAAGTGAATAAGCGTAATGAGAATATTCGTGTAATCGATATTGAATTTGTAAAATGTTTAAATTCAACAACGCCAAGTGAATAAGCGTAGGCCTAATAAGAATATTCGTGTAATCGATACGTGTAAAATCGTGAATATATCGATTATATCGATTATATATTTACATTTTATGTAAAACGTGTGAACCCCTGTCGCAGAGTTGACGGAATCGTTGTTCGTTGTCACGTGGTTGAGTGACGCAATAGCGCGCGCGAATCTATACATAGTTGTAATTTTATTTAGAGAATGAAATACTAGAAGAGATAGAGATGATTCTGCGTATTAAATTGCAACGAATATATATATATATATATATATATATATATATATATTATCAATGTATTATATGTATTAGGTATACGATCAGTATGTGCCCAGCTTTTCCCAGAACACAGCCCACCTCGTCATACGTTGATTGACAGGACCTGCTTATGACGTTTCAAATATCAGCCATATAGCATCTATTTATCGTCATTTATTCAGCCGTCATCATTCGACTGAAAAAAACGCCCGTATTGCGTGCGACTGCCCTCGTGGTGCTAATCGGTGTGGAATACATGTACTATGACTTGTAATAAATATACGTACGCAGTTATTATGAAGCGCAGTCGGCATGTATCAGTGTTTATAGTACGTGCTCGTCCGTTCGTTTATACGTGACAGACTGCCACAAACACCTGCGTCTTATGAGGAATAAACTGGAGTTTGGGGGATATTGTTTTATTGCATGAAACGTCACGAGAGTTTGTGCTCTATATTTTGAACGTATAACCTCGTAAAAATTATTATTGTCTTCACTATGTATTAGTTAGACATGTACACACGGAGATCTTACGAGATATGCTTTGTCACGTTTGTAAGCAAGTTGTGGACACCGGGCAGTTGTAAGGGTTAAAGTGAAACAGTAGAATTATTGTAATTATTCGGAGCAAACCCCTCGAGAATATGTGCTCTCTACTTTAATTGAATGATTTCAATAAAACCGCATATATTTCATTTGCCGTCATGCACCGTTTCTCATACATTACACTGCCCATTTTCAGCGCGTAAGTTGCGGTGGACAAAGTGAAAACTCTATGGCGGATTTTACCGATGCTGCGGACAAATAAAACATCACTAAGACTGCAAAAAAGTTTCATTGAGAAATGTTTACAATCCACGTAGAAGAGCCTCCAATATTCTCCTATCTCTCGCCTCCTTCTTCCTAATTGACACGGACAGCACGCGTTACTGGGACGTCGTGCATTGTCGAACATTACCCATTCACACACGTATATACTTGCGCACCTTTATCTTATTAGTCCTACTCTTATAGTCTATTAGTCTTTACTCTGTTAGTCCTACTTCTAGTCTATTAGTCTTTACTCTGTTAGTCCTACTTCTAGTCTATTAGTCTTTACTCTGTTAGTCCTACTCTTAGTCTATTAGTCTTTACTATTTTAGTCCTACTCTTAGTCTATTAGTCTTTAGTCTTTTAGTCCTACTCCAAGTCTATAGTCTTTACTCTTTTAGTCCTACTTCTAGTCTGTTAGTCTTTACTCTTTTAGTCCTACTTGTAGTCTATTAGTCTTTACTCTGTTAGTCCTACTCTTAGTCTATTAGTCTGTACTATTTTAGTCCTACTCTTAGTCTATTAGTCTTTACTCTTTTAGTCCTACTTGTAGTCTATTAGTCTCTAATCTTTTAGTGTTTATTCTTTTCATCCTAATCGACCCCGACAGAATGCGTCAGTGGGACGTCACACATGGGTGAACAGCACCCATCACACACGTATATACGCGCGCCTTTACTCGATCGATCGAGATCCGGGACCGCGGACGGAATCACGGCCCACCGGTGCTCGGAGATTCATTTACCTGAGAGCTTTTCCTCCTACATAATTAAACCTCTACAGGTGATCAATTATCATTAGCGAAGAACTGGTGTCAGAATCAATACGAGAGAGCGCGCGCGTGTATTCCAGAAACTCACACAGCGTTCAGGAATCCTCATCCGCCGTGTGTGTGTGTGCGCGCGCACACAACGCTCTGGTGAGAGTGAGAATCCGTGTTGCCTCTCTGATCGCTTTCGTTGGTTGCGTGAGCACTGGAGCGAGCGATCTGGGGAGTTACTCCTCTTGGGCGAACGTTCTACCGTGCGTTCACCGACTGATTTCACCGGGTCAAAGCGACGAATTACCTTATCGCACCTGCGTTGTAGTGAAGTGAACGGATCAGAAGGTGTTCGCTGTGTTGGTATTGCGTCTGGCCGCAGCATCGGCGTGTGTCTATCGCAGCATCCGAAGCTCCTGAGATGGATAAAGACTGCTGAGCAAATCCGCAACCGCGGGGACGGAATACCGCCGCAAGATGGATTACTATAATAACCCGATAGGAGGGTATGTATGCCTACATCCTTGCGTGCGTGTCGCTTGTAAGCATGCGTGTGAGGATAACGTTTCTTTCGTGCATCCGTTCCGACTAGCGAGCTCCATTAATAACGCCCTCTATGCTGTCTTTTTGCAATTATTTTCCTTGTTTTGACGACGGCGATCTATGGCTTACGAAACTGGTAACTGTCGTTTAACGTCCGTACACACACGTACGCGCTTTCTGTAGCTTATCTCACCTGGGCAGTGGAAATATAAGGAGGGGGAGCATGAGAAGTCTGTTGTCAGAAATATCAGAAATATTCAAAGCAGCGTATGCCTTCCGCGTGGATGACTTTGTTACGACCGCGTGAAAGATGTATGGGACTGTATCAATTTATTGCATCTGTACATAACGTGTTTTTTCGCCGTCGTCCACCACCGTCACCCACGATTTTACTTGCTTACTCGCTGGTCTAAAGTGTAGTAACTTTTGAAGCGAAGTGGCCGTGAAACAGTTAGAACATATTAGACTCACGATAGTCGTAACTATATTCATGTTTCCGCGCGTGTTTCCGGCGGCAGGTTGGGCAGGCTCGGGGAGACGGAGACGGACATCCTGGCGAACGCTGTCGTTCAGCACGTGCTCGACATGGCGCGCGGATCGCAGCATCTGCAGCAGGTCGTCAGACGGAGGCCGTCCGTTACCAAGGTCAGTGGGCGCAGGGAGAGAGAGAGAGAAGGGGAGAGAGAAAAGGAGAGAGAAAAGGAGAGAGGGAGAGAAGGAGAGAGAGGGAGAATAGAAGGAGAGAGTAAGAGAGAAAGAGAAAGAAAGAGAAGGAGAGAGGGAGAGAGAGAGAGAGAGAAGGAGAGAAAGAGGGGGAAAGAGAGAGAGAGAGAGAGAGAGAGAAAAGAAGGAGAGAAAGCGGGGGAAAGAGAATAAGAGAGAGGGAGATAGGAGAGAGAAAGAGAGGGAGGGAGACAGGGGGAGAAAGTGATACTTAGACCAATACAGTAAACCCCATTGGTTCCAAGCCCTTCAAAGATATATACATAGAGAGAGGGGAGGGAGTGTGTGTGAGAGAGAGGGAGATAGAGAGTAGAAGCTATTTGCTCCACGTCCTCAAAAGATATATAGAGAGAGAGCGGAAGAGAGGAAAAGAGAGAGAGAGAGAGAGGAAGAAAGGGGGGACGAGAAGGAGAGAGAGGAAGAGAGGAAGAGAGTGAGAGAGAAATAAAAATAAAAAGAGAGGCGGAGGAGATAGACAGTGAGAAGAAGAGACGGAGAGAGAGAGAGATACTTAGACCAATACGCGGACACACGCGTTTGTCTGTCTGCTTATCTTTCTCTTTCTCTCTCTCTCTCTCTCTCTCTCCTCTCTCTCTTCTCTCTCTCTCTCTCTCTCTGCTCTCTCAGGTCTCTCTCTCTCTATAGTATATATATATATATATATACTATATATATAATATATATTTTGTTCTATCTAGTGTCTGACAGCGTCGGATGTGTATATCTACAATTAAACTCGAGAGCGACAGATGGGGCGGGTTTAGATGTGTAATTCGCCTGCCACTTTCCCCTCGGATGCTATTATAAATAATATATGTTACGTTCTTTATGTACACGTGTCTATTACGTACGATGTACGCTAGAATTTGCATAACCACGCAATATGCTAGTGTAGACGTTAATATTGAAAACTAAATCACTAAATATGAAATAATTTACTGGTATAATATCCATATCAGGAGTAGATAATAGGGAATTCCCTATTATCTACTCCTGATCCATATCATACGATTCATCTATCCATCCATCAATCCATCCATCCATCCATGCATCAATCCATCTATCCATTCATCTATCCATCCATTCATCCATCCATCCATCCATCCATCCATCATCCATCCATTGCCATCCATCCATCCACCATCCATCCATCTATCCATGCATCCATACCATCCATGCCATCCATCCAATCCCATACCATCCACCATCCATCCATCCATCCATCATCCATCCATACCATCCATCCATCCATCCATCCATACCATCCATCCATCATCCATCCATCCATCCATCCATCCATCCATGCCATCCATCCATCCATCCATCCATCACTCCATCCATGGCCATCTCCATCCACCCATCCATCCATTCCATTCCATCCATCCCCAATCCATCCATCCATCCATCCATCCCATCATCCATCCATCCATCCATCCATCCATCCATCCATCCATACCATCCATCCATCCATCCATTCCATACCATCAATCCATGCCATCCAATCTATCCATCCCACACCATCCTCCATCCATCCATCATCCCTCCGCCATCCCTCCATCCACACATCCATCCATCCATCCATCCATGACATCCATCCATCCATGCCATCAATTAATCCCATCATCACTAACATCATCCATCCATCCTTCACAGTCCAACCCTACCCATTTTTTTATTTACGTATTCCATTCATTTATTTTTATTTATTTTGGTTATTTATCTTATGGCAGAGAATTGTCCACAAGGCAAAAGCAACGGCAGTGAAGCAATCAGGCTAAGCAGAGGCGCGGCAGAGCCACCTCGCGGAGGGCGAGGTGACAGTCATCGGATGACAGGTCGTCTGCATATTCTCCGTACGGTCGCTCCATCCGAAAGCCTCACCCCGACGCACTGTCAACAGGTGAGGACATCAGAGGTCATATTGAGGTCGACGCTCGTTACACAACTCTACCTTTGTTATTTCCTCTTACGGAGCGTATTAGCGCGGCGTAATTACTGTAGTGACTACGTTCGTCGCTTTACGAGAACGCAATTTTTTATTATTCTCCTTTCATTAGCATATTAATAAGATAAAAAATAAAAAAAAAGAATTATTAATTATCTATTAATAAAACTTAAATTAATCATCAATATTATAATGGCGGATTTTATAGCCGATTGTATCTTGCGGATGTGAACATGACAGAGAATTAATTACAGAGACACACAAGTAACGAATAACAGCAGAAATGTCGGCCATGAAGGGTTTTCTTTTCTTATTGCTCAGTGATTAGATCATAGAACGCACTCCGTAACCGTAATTATAAATAAAAAATAAGGCTCGTCGGCATTCCCCCTGAAACGAGATTAGAAAGGACCGAAAGCAGAGAGAGAGAGAGAGAGAGCAGAGAGAGAGAGAGAGAGAGAAAGAGAGAGAGAGAGAGAGAGGCGAGAGAGAGAGAGAGAGAGAGAGAGAGAGAGACAGAGAGAGAGAGAGAGAGAGAGAGAGAGAGAGAGAGAGAGAGCAGAGCAATGAAACACATCGTCCTGCTCTACCGTAGCCGTAAGAGTTTTACATCTCTTACAGCTGAATGGTTACGTCCCACAACCTTCCGTAACCGCAGCATTAATTAAGACGACACCTGTAACTCCAACTCCCCCTTGCAGCGCAGTAAGGTGCAGCATTCGCCGCATCGTGAGAAGGCGTCTGCGTGCGTGCGCTCCGTCGTCGTGCCGACGCGGTTCGTGCACACGACGCGCGTGAGACTCCTTTATCACGGAGCCGTAGACAAGCAGCCTTGTGCAGATCATGGTGCAGCCAAGAAGCAGGGAAACACGAATGCGTGAATACGTCTACCGACAGCCGACGCGACGACCGTC